AGAAATTAATACTTTTATTTAGCAAGGATGCTTAAAATTGATCAAAAGTGATGATAAAGGCATTTATAATGTTACAAAAGATTTATATTTCAGATAAATAGTGGTCATATCGATATCGGAATTATATCGTATCGACCGAAATTAAGAAATATATCGTGATATCAATTTTGGCCATATCGTCCAGCCCTACTTTGAATATCATTATGATATTTGTATAACATTACATAACTCCCAAATTATACAAATATAACAATGATATTCAAATGAATTCAATGCAATAAGAACTAGAGCAGATGTATGTTCACACTGATTGTTCATTTGGTTTGGTTGGATTTGATCAGTTCCTTATTTCTAAAATGAATTATCAGAAACACAAAAACAAAGTATGTTATATTTGCACACTAACAAATAACTTTTCTTCTCTTAAGCACATTATGAAATATACTATACCCTCCAAAAATTTAGCCTGGTGAAAGTGTGACCACTACTGCAAACAGATACAGTAATGTACAGTTACAAATACATAGGTACAACAGTTGTATTTCATACATTGTAAACGCTTGCAGTAGAACACCTGCATAGTTAATATCAGAATGGCAATTGAAAATGTATAGTAACAATGTATAAATTATAAAAAAGTTCAAAGTAAAATAGTTTCAAATTCAAAGAAAGATTCTGGCTCTGATTGTAGCTTGTAGAATAAATATTAATATTTCAATTTATATTATAATCATGCAATTCGACAATGTGTGAGTTATGGTAGTGTGTTAAGGGCTGTCAGGCCATGAATGAGGGTCTGGTCAAACTGAAGCTAACAGGGTAGGAAACAGACATGCATTCTGAAATCAAATAACTTTTGAGTTTTTGCAGGGGCTCATCAAAGATTGACTCAACGTGCTCCCAAGTACACACTGAAATACTCTTTGGCAAAAACGGTTCAATAGAGTTTGCATTAAGGAGTGAGATGATAAGGCAGCTGGCGTATGTGGTAAGCAGATCTTCAGCCACTCTGGTTTCCTTTCAGGAAGTGGGTGAGGAGCTGAGAGATGTTCGAAGAACAACCCCATCCCCTTCCATTTCTAGACAGCATCAAGCTCACACTTCATTCCTCTGAGATTTACAGTAAACCCCTTTTCCCCCTCAAGTACACCAATTTTGCACCAACTCAAATTTATAGTAATTAACTGCATAGTGACAAAATAAAAATAAATGCTAACGCTGAATGCTGGTTCCATTTGTCTACATGAACTGAATCATTAGTTGTCAAACAATATTTTTTACAGCATTTATTAATATAAATTAATGTTAATTTCCACACACATTTCAAGCTGGTTGTATAAATCAACACTAATGTATTATGAACAAAGAAAGGAAAAATAAGGATTACATTTATACATTTTACCAAAACTAACACTGTAAAAATAGTTGGTTACCGTTAATTCGTGATAACTAAATGTATTAAATCAACTGTGTAAATTTTGTGCATTTTCACAACTTTGGAGCCCCTACATTTAAGTGATTGTAATTCACTGTGGTAAATATATCACTAATTCATCATAATTACACCTGATAGATGTACACATGCATTTGTTGCTGTCATAAAGCAATGCGTCCTTTTCGCAGACTTTCTTGATTTAGAAACTGATATTTCAAGGTTAAAAATGTTAAAAATAAAAAAAATGTTTCTCTTATGGAGATTTATAGGACAATTAAATATTCAATATAATCTATAAAAATAAAACAGTCTAAATATAGCAGGTTATCAAGTCCCAATAAGCTATCTATAAGTATTAATGTATACAGTAAAGCATTTCTATGGCTGTAGCATTGTCAAAATCATGCTAGTGAACTTTCATCTTAGTGAAATTTCCAGAATGCACCATAAAAACCAATGTGCACTGACCAGAGATTTTCTTACAGAGGTCAGAAATGAAGCAATGATCAATGCATAATCTTAATAGTACTGAACATTTAACAGCTTCAGCAAAGGATATTGGCCCAAGGCATAATGCCAGCTGTTTAAATGCATGACCTTGTAATCATGCCGCACTAACAGTCATCAGCGTCCCCGACATGCACGTGTCTATGATTCACATCATAAGGAACTGAAAGGTAGAATGAGAAAGTGTGATGTACAGAAAAGACTCAAGTCTGCATATGAGGACATGGTTTATTTTATTAAAGGCATAGCTGATTCCAGCGTTTACAAGTGTCCACAAAGAGACAAGAACACAATAAATCAAGCCCATTATAGAAGGAGATATCCTCACCCCCAACAATTCCCTGACAAAATCCTCTAAAAAAACAAAACAAAACAAAAAAGAACTTGACTGGATATCTCCCTCATCCAAAATACAAGGCATTCTGAAAGATGGATTTCATGCAGAATCAGTGGCAGACTAGAATTTAGGGTTGGGACAAACTTTCTTAGTGGTAAATTGAATGTAAAAAGCTGGCTGTTATATTTTCTTTTAGCTTTACTATTGGAATGTTATATTACAGCCCAGAGGCGCAAGGCTGTTGTCCTGTGATCAGCATTGTAATGTACATCACTACAGAAGCCACAGTTAAAAGATGGATACTGGACAACAGGGAAAAAAATCCACATTTACAATGCAGGGTATCGAAAAAAGCACATTCACACAAGACTGTGCACCACAAGTCCATCCGAAATAAAAGAACGTTAGGCGTCCACAGTAACCAATCAGAGCGCAGGCTTCTGAAACTCCTTGCTGAACGATTCTAAAAGGAAAACAAAAGATGAACAAAATGGGGCACGCAGCTCCCACTGAAAACTTTTTTTTCGTCTGCAGTTGATATTTTGATCTAACTCAACTTTTAAGGTTCCATTTAATTATTTATTCCTCTATTTTTAATACAGTTTTAAATGCAACAAGAGAAGCACAAACACACGGCAAATAGACACATCATTTAAAGTTCGTCTTTAATAAAATGTTCTCTACTCAAAAATAAAAACACGCTTTATTCTCATCATACAAGAGAGTACGTCTTTCATATAACCTTCGCCGAACAAAAAACATCTTACGTAACCAGGAAGAAATAACCATTTTATAGATATTTTGGCCTATCCAACACAAACCCCTGGCCCCAGAACATCTCTACCAAACAATGGCAACCACACAAGGTTTCGAAGGCCTACTCAGTGCTATATCCTCTACTGAAAAGAGAACCGTTACGTTTTCAAAACAACATTTGCTTTTGATTTCGAAGAAAAAACAAACGGGCTGCAAACAGGGCGTCTACGATCTCGTGACCCTTTTCTAGCTTGAGAATCACGGCCACGTGACGCTAACCCGATGCAACAGATGATATACGTTTACAAGATTTCAGACCGAAGCAGTAATCGGGCTTGACGCTCTTCCTCAGAGACGACTTTTTAGTGCTAAGCGTAACGGGAGCTGAAGTGTCCTTTCGGAGGTACGTTATTCTGTGGTTTTTTCAACTGAGTACAGTGGCTGTGGAGATTGTACCTGAAAGGAGAACAATTCAGTGGCTGTGAGGTTGCTGTGGGAAAACGGGCTTCCCCGGTTCATCTCCCTTTCCGCCAAGCTAATGGCGCCACAGCTAGACCCGTTCGCCTCATCCCTACAGTGCCGACCGTGATCACGATGCTAACGAATCCTTAAAACAAAAATAGAAAAAGAACAACAAAAGGAAGAGAGAAAACACAGACCAGGCACAAAGAGAGCTGATAAAACTATTAATAAAAAGGCTGAACATGAACAAAAGAAGCCGTTATGCATTTAAGCTAGAGAATAAAGAAACGAGGAGAGGAGGGAGGCACACATTTATATCGAATGAACTCCCCCCATTAGCAGTAAACTATTGAACATATTTACTGAATAATATTTCAGAGAGCTAAAACTGCTACAGAACAAGTCACAAAATACAGTATTGTTAATAAATGCAGTCTCTATTGCAGCTAATGATACTACATCCTACATCTATAGTCTAACCCCCAACTCCGCTTGATACTGATCGAGCTATAATGTCGCTATGAGCTTCATAATGGTTCAAACTTTAGAGACGTTCCCTGTCCCGTTCTGCGAACTCTTCTTACAAATCAACAGACTGTACATGACAACACCATGATCCATGCCTGTGTCAATCTAAGTCCTAATATCTGAGCATATTCTCTAGAAGCGCACGTTCACGCCGTTCGCATCATCCTTCATTCATTCGATTTTTTTTCTTTTTTTAATGCTGAACACAGCGACACGAATCCCTCTGAGAAAATGAATCCAAACTTGGAATAAAACACAAAATCAGTCCTCCTTTCTTTTTTTGTCCCTCGTAACACCACGTCTGCCGTTAATAAACATCCCTTTCTGCCACGCACACACCCTTAACTCCTTAATGTGCGGCGTGCCGGTCACACAGAGCAATTTAAGCAGGTGGCATGAGGGTGTCCAGTACAGAGTCTTAAGTCCAGATGAGACCGGGGAATGACCTTTGACCCCCAGAGGAAGCGAGGTGGCAATCAGAGAGAGTTTGTCCCCCTCAGAGTCAGTGTTCTGCAGCGGCTACGTGCTGAGCAGCGTTGCACGCCCTCACAGGGAGAGACAGACAGAGTGAGTGAGAGAGATAGAGGAGAGGGATGCACGTCCCTCGTCGATCAGGCGAGCGGTTCGTTTTGAGCCTGTCGCTTCACATCGTTCGCCGTCTCCAGCCTCTGCGCGCAGGTAATGCCGGAAATTTCCGATTGGAGCTTGTGGTTTCACCTCTTCTGTTGAATCATGTTTCACACAAGTGCGTCTTCCCGTGGACTCTCAGTGTGGCGGGTTCATGTTGCCGTGGCCGCGCTGCTGCTTCTGTTTCTGCTGCATCAGGAGCTGCTCCAGAGCAGACGGACCGGGCTGCATCATAGAGCTCGACCAGATTGACTGCAGAAAGAGGGGTAGAAGAAAGGGAATGTGGAGACTGAAGGAAAAACAGCAAAATACATGTCGTTGCACATCTGCGGTTAGAACGACTGCAGAAAGTAGAAAATGTTGATCAACTAAATCAACTAAAATGTTGAAAAGAACATCCCGTGCTACCTTGAAACTGTCAAGGAGGACAGTGGAGGAGTCCTCCATTGGCACGTCCTGGGCCGCCCAGCTGCTGGTTGGCACCCCCTGGTGCCAGCTGTTGGTATCTGGCACAGAGGAGGACGAGGCAGACGGCAGGTAGTCCAACCCAAAGCCGCTCACACCTGAAGACAGTCATACCAACCATTTACATTTACAAATATGATTAACAGTTTAATTACTACTTGTGGCAAATGGCTGTTCGCGTCCGTTGTAGACACGGTGTTAGAGAGAAGAATATGTTCAGCCCCCTCCCTCTGAAGCTTCGAATATTCGGCGTTCATTACTACCGAAGCTTCGAAGCTCAAAAAATTGTATTCGGACCAGCCCTAAATACAAGCATAAACTTTACTATTTAATTACTGCAATTAAATGCCTTTTCATTCTAGATAACATTTACTAAAACATTAAAATTGCAAATAAATTATTTAAAAATAAATTATTTTGAAAAACAGCAACTTCTCAATTCTGTAATCCTGGCATTTTTTAAAAATAAAGAAATTTGATAAAGACATATGAATATAAAGAAAGTAAGCACCATAACCAACAGTGCAGTCTGACACTTAAGAAAAACTGATCAGCCAGTGCTAATAATAAAAGCTGACCACTAGAAGAGACACAGTATGGGAATTACCAGCATTACCAGTCTTATCAGCCTTCCAGCGATCGGTTCCTCGGCGGTCTCTGCTGTCAGGCGTCCCAATAGGGCCGAAGTTGGAGATGGGTAGGGAGCTGTGGCTGTGGGTGGGTGGGGATGAAGGCAGGCTGCTTGGGTTAGAAGAGTGAGGGGACTGACTGGCTGGTGTAGAGTGATCTATAACAAAAGATAGGAACTGATTATTAACAAATCAATGCTGCTAGTTCACTTGTACAATCTAAAATAATGGCTATGAACAAAGTCATCATTATATGATATCTGTAAGTAAATCAAAATCACAATATGGTACCTGAGCTAGCAGGAAGGGAGGGGGACCATGGAGTTCCTTCAAACAGGGAGTAGAGTGAAGGCTCCTGGTGCATCATGGGTACGTCTGGCTTAGACGCAGGAGCCATATTTTTACCATAGGCCTCGCTAAAAATGCTGTTGTTCTGGTAGGAGCTCTCCTGTAACCAAAAACAATTTTGGCTTTTTTAGTACTTCTATATTTTATTGGCCTTTTTGCCACTAGTATTGATAGATATAGTGGAGAGAGGGTAGAAAAAGTGGAGAATGATTGAGAATGACCAGATTCAAACTTAGTTATTTTACTTCATAATGAGTTTACCAGTCAGTTCTGACAAAAAAAAAAAGAAAGATATTTGTATTTTCATTACTAATCAAAGCATGATTGGAAAGTAAAAATAGAGCAACTTCCAGCCCAGCAAACACAAAATCTGGTTATGTTTTGAATGAAAACACTGCCACCTGGTGACTTTGATCTGTAATGCAAGTGAGGACTAAAGTGTTTGTTTGAGAAAGAGCAAAGCAGCTTTACCGGAATGGAAAATCGGGGGAGAAGAGAGGACTGGCCAATCACATCAGCTCCACTGTCTAGTCGTGACTGATTTGGCAACTACAAAAGAAGAGAAGCGCAAAAGATGAGAACTCTGCAAAAGACATGCAAGTTCAAACAGATCAGGCATTTCTAGCAGACCACAGCACTAGGAAAAACTATATTTCTAGAAAGCCACAAATTATTATAACAAATATAAGATACAGTACATATTGCACACTACACATTCAGTACACGTCCAACATTGGACACATTAGACTGAATCTGATTTTTATTATCTTATTAAATTATTTTAAAGGGGTCATATGATGCTTTTTTAAAGATCATTATTTTGTGTATTTGGTGTAACAGAATATGTTGACATGCTTTAATGCTCAAAAAACATTATTTTTCAAATACTGTACATTATTGTAGGTCCTCTATGCCCCGCCTCTCTCAAACGCTTCGTTTTCTACAAAGTCCCTCCTTCCAACAAGCGCAGTCTGCTCTGATTGGCCAGCTGACCCAGTGCATTGTGATTGGCCGAACACCGCAAGCACTCATCGGAAATGTAACGCCCCTTACCATAATCGCGAGCTTCATCTTTCAAAATAAATGTAAAGACAGAGCCCGAAAGGGGAACAGAGTCGCGTGACAGACAGTGATGAAGCTGGTATGTGTTTGTGATGTGACCCCATCTCTCTCGCTCTCTCTCTCTCTCGCTCTCTCGCTCTCTCGCTCTCTCGCTCTCTCTCTCTCTCGCTCTCTCGCTCTCTCGCTCTCTCGCTCTCTCTCTCTCTCGCTCTCTCGCTCTCTCGCTCTCTCGCTCTCTCTCTCTCTCGCTCTCTCGCTCTCTCGCTCTCTCGCTCTCTCTCTCTCTCGCTCTCTCGCTCTCTCGCTCTCTCGCTCTCTCTCTCTCTCGCTCTCTCGCTCTCTCGCTCTCTCTCTCTCTCGCTCTCTCGCTCTCTCGCTCTCACGCTCTCTCCCTCTTTCTCTCACGCTCTCTCTCTCTTGCTCTCTCTCGCTCTCACACACACGCAAAACTCCGCATTTGAACATTCAATAGCAAATACTTAAACTAGTAACAAAACATACTTACAGTCGCTGATTCAGAAGCGCCAGATTGTCATAGCAAAGTCAGAATTACCTCCTCTCCTAGGTTCACGAAACGGTCGTCCATAAAATGCATTGCTGTTCTGTTGTAAGT